TACTGAGGCTTACAGAACTTTGATGTTAATGAATGTGGATGGGTTGTAGAGATGGGAGAAAAGCTGCCTTTATCAGTTTTCCCAGTACCAAGCTGATAGCCATTGTAAAACTGCTTTTTAATACAGCTGTGCAGCTTTTGCCAGTAAGCCACAGGTTTCCATCACATGATCAGGTGAAAATGTGTTTAACAAAGACATGAATATGCTTCTTTGTTCATAACAAACTTATCACAAGAATAGACAAAGCTCAAATTATCACAAGAGGGCAAACGTTTAGCCAGCAACTTGTCAAAGCATTCCAGCCTGCATCTCACTGCTGAACAGACCAAGAAAGTAAAAAAAAAATATAATCTACATGAATACCACCTTCTACAAATAAGAAGTCAGTTTGCTTTTTTTTTTTTAACTCTACATCTGGAGCCTGTTTGGGGCATAAAGAAAAGAGGAAAGATATTTGGAGACACTTAAATTGCTTCACTTCCTGCCGTGAATGACTATGCAGTGATTTTGTTAGAAAAGAGAAAACAATTGTTTCCCATGCTCCCTGGGAGAAGGACAAAACATAACCTGCTGAATGTGCAGCAAAGAGACTTCAGCTCTACAGCACGAAAAACTGCTACTAATAATAAAGGGAAGGCAGGAATAAGGCAGCTGTGGGGTCCCTATTGCCAGAGCACAGGAAAATCCCTGGAGCACTGACCCAGGCAGGCACAATTCACACAATTCAGGGCAACCTGGAGCTCCTGAGTGCTGAAATGCCTCTTTCTGCTCCCATGGATCACTTGGAGCAGGTGAGTCCATGAGTTCCTCCAGCCAGACAGCTCTCCAGGGCAGCTGGAGTGTGCCAAAGCAAGCAGGCACTGGGGACTTATCTCTGAGCACAGAGAGGGACAAACAGCATCTCCCAGTCCTTCCCAGGAGCTGTGTAAAATGTCAAACCTCCCTGTTGCACCCCTCAGCCTCTCCAGTTTCATGCACTCTGAAACAGCTGCTTTAAAAAGACTCTGACTTCAAAGCACAGTAAATTAAGCTCCACATAAAGTCCATTCAGCTTTCTGTTTAATTTGATAAAAGCTCATCAGACCATTCAAGTTACCTTCTGGTCAATACTGCCTCAAGAAATCTGCAATTCAGCTACCTGTGGTTTTTCCAATATTTCTGTAAAACATTACTGACAGAATCTGTTGGCCTGCAATGCATCAGGTCTTTGCTAAACACTGTTCCAGGGCTCAAAGAACCTTCTATCCTGCTGGGATCTCTTCATTTTCTCTACAAGTCTTTTGGGATTTTTCTTTCCTCTTGCTCTAATGCCCTGGGGTCACAGTTGTTTTTAGACAGCATTTCTTCTCTGTTTTAAACTGATAATGCATCTTTCAATTTCTTTCTAAGGAAGAGGGATTGGTCTCAAAAACAATGGCTCAGCTCTGCCAGGAGGCTGGATGGGGCTTGGAGGGTCTGGTGGAAGGTGCAGGGTTTGGAACTGGATGAGAGTTAAGATCCCTTCCAACCCAAACCATTCTGGGATTCTGTGATCAGCTCCAGGCCAGGCAGATTTACTGTTAAGCTGGATACCTTCAGGTCTGCTGACAAAGAGCACAAAATGCACTGAGACTGCAGCCCCTTTCCACCCCAGGTGATCCCAAACCCCCTCCACCAGCAGGTCCTGGGTCCCTCCTCCCCACCGGAGCTCACTTGGCACCGCCTGTGCCAGCAGCACCACATCAAGGTTAGTGAGGAGGTGAAAGGCAGAGCAGCCTCTCCAAGTGGAAGGAGAAGGAAATGAAGGGACCAGAGTGTGCTGCTCCATGGAGGAGCTGGCCAGAAGGCTGAGAAGCACAGGTTTTTAATGGCCAGGAGACCTCTGCAGCCTTCCCACCACAGCAGCATCAAGAAAAAGCAGTGCCTGGCCTAGGAGCTTTCACCAGGTCCCAACACAGTGATGACAAGAGAAAAAAACACAGGAGATTTCATTTTAAGACTTCTTCAGTGTTTCTTATTTAAATAAAAGAAAAAAAAAAATCCATCATTTCAAGAATCCACAGGATCAGCTTCCCATCCACCTCCCCTCTCGCCAAGTACTGACTTTGCTGCCAGCAGAGCAGTACTCAAAAATTTTACATTTCCTGCAGCATAATTACAAATTACAACATTCAAAGGGGAAAAAAAGGGCTTTTTTAAAATACACGGAGACCACAGGAAAATGAAGAATATCCTATATAAATACTATCCTGTCATAGCAAAGGGGGTAACTCTACCCCAAAGTTTAATGAACCTTATAAAAAAAAAAGGAAGTTTTAAGCTCTGTTTTAAGCCCTTAAATCCCTAAAGACAATCAAAAGAAAACACAGGACAAAGTAGAAATACTATTGATTATGCATAATTGGTATAATTAATTTGTAATTAGTTCATTAAAATATATAGGCATTGGAATTATGCTTGTACATTTCTGGGAATATCCTGCAAGTCACTTGGGATGTGCTTATCATTTATTTGATAGATGAAACATTATTAGAAAGACAGCCCATTAAAAATTAATATGCCGGAGTAATAATTTTCTCGATCTCAGCATTCAGTTTTCCACGTACTCAGACTCCTATTCTGCCTCACAAAGAACTTTTATTAATTCTGTTTTGCAGAGCATGACTTGGGAAGCACAGCATTTAGGACAACTGAGGCACAGCAGCCTTTATGCTGAGCATGCAGCCAGTTTTGTGAAACAAAATGGCAAATATTATAAATTATATACCACAGGGGTGTTCAGCACAAGATCTAATCCTACAACTTAATTTAGGATGGAAAGGTAAAGAGCTTTGTGCTTGAAAGGAAGTAGGAAGAAACTTGCAGAGCACTGGGAGCAGCCTGGTCTGTAACTGCTGAGCATTCTTGTGCTTCTGCAGCGTGTCTGGCATCTCTCACTGTCAGAAATGGATGAGCAGCACTCCAGAGCTCCCTGAACACTGCAGGGAGCAGCCCCAGTCCCACCCCGGGCTGGGATCCACTAGGATTCACCATTTCAAAGGTGCTGTTCCACTTTTGTGTGGGGCAAAGTCAGGTGGGGCAATGGAGCATCATCACTTTTTAACCCTGATGCCACTTCCCCCTTCCCACTGAGCTTCCTGAAGTCCCTCCAGTGTTTCTGAAGTGCCATTTTAGCCAACAGCTGCAGAATAATTGGATCTGGAAAACCCAGGATAGTCACATCACCTCCTCCAAGCTGGGCATGCAACACCAAACTTTCCTTGAATTTCTGCAATGGACAGAGCCACTCCTTGTGTGTTATTTACCAACAAAGTCTCCCCTTCAAAAGCATTTTCCTCCCCACCCGACCTCCATCAGCACTGTGGCAGCCTAGAAAGGCTGGTCACTCACTGAGGATGAAGATGGGCCATGGCAAGACCCATCTTCATTGAAAAACACCTAAAAAAATTTAAAACTCGTGTTCTTCAAATGGAGCAAAATCAGCAGTGGATACACAGCACAAGCAGTATCATTTGCCATTATAAAGCTTGAATTTTCTCTTGTAAAACAAAGAGTATGTGCCTAAAAAAACACCTTTCATGTTTTAAAGAAGGGTGTCCAGGTCCTTTAAGGCACAATTAAACACTGCTGTAATTCTGTGCTTCCCAGCAAATCTGTGTTAAGAATTCCAAACACTCTCCCAGGAACCACACACAGTTTTTTTTGGTTTTGTTTTGTTTTTTGTTTTTTTTTTCCCTTGCCTCCACTGTAGCATGGACAATTATTTATTTTCTTTGCCTTGCACTCAAGGATGTGATGGATGTATTTACATAAACACACACAGAGCCACAGATATCTCTCTATAAAAATTAATCTGCAGATGATGAAAAGTGTAAAAGATCTAAGAGGCAAATCCCAAACAAAAGAACACACTTTATACACTTTATACATAAATATCTTGAAATTATAAAGATCTGAGATTAAGTGGTTTACCACTCATTTAGAATTGATTAGAATGTATTTAAATTTAGCTGAAAGTACCACAACATTGCTCGTGTATTTGCATCTGCGAATAAGTAAATAAAAAGCCTGCTATTAAAGCCTTCATTAATTCTGATTATATGAGAACTTAAAAGCAAATCTGTGTATTACTGCTCTGTAAAGACTCCCAGCAACTCTAGAGTAGAGCTGGCACTGCAACACAACATGTGTCAGCTAAAATGACTAACAGGATCTATTTTCAGTAATCTTAAATCGCACTGCTAAAATATAGAATTAATGGGTTTGCATAATACTTCAAATATTTTTTTTCCTTCTAATTCATTCCCAATTCCTGCCTTATTGTATCAAAAAGTGAATTTTATATCACTTGACATTTATGTACAACAGTTGAACACATTTCATTAAACTACAATGTTTAGGCAGCACTCAGATGTGATGTGTATATTATTATAAAGAGTGATCCAGCTATTTTATTTCCTTATAAATATGATGACTGGAGGTTTAAAAAAATATATCATGTTGACTAGAAACATGAAGAACGTTTCATTCTGACTACAGATTTTGAGAGTTTCTACATATTTAATTGAAGACAGGGTTTTTGAAAGAAGGATTCGTTAATTTTAGTAGCATTTCCCTCCAACTAAAGACTTGTCTTAATTTCTAAGGAGTTTAACAATTAAGAATATAATCATCTTCAACTAATACCCAAGAACCTTCACGTGCCACTCTGACAGCTGAAAAGCCATTCTAAGTTAAAATACAACAAAAAAACAACCTTGCCCAACATTTAGTCATTGAACTCAGAGTTATGGGGTGCAGCTTGGTGAAAGATTTTGCACTTTATCAAGTCCAATAATCAGGTTTAGAACACTCCATCCTTAATAGAGTTGGCCCCAAAAATCCATTACTTTTCCCTACAGTCCCTAGGCCCAAGTGTCAAGTCCATTACTCAGTAATCAGCATCACAAAACATTTTAAGGCACCGTGCAAGACAAGGGATCAAAGGGATTTTTAGCATAAAGTTATACAGAAAAGTATACCTGATAGTCCAAAATGCTGAATCCTAAACCATTTTTGTCCTTCTCCAGCTCAATAACCTTCACATCAGGAGACCATAATGCCAATTCCCCTTCTTCCTCCTCAGGATTAAAGTCTTCCTCAGGTTTCACCTGGAAAAGAAAAGCTCTGGATCAAATACCATTCTCTCAGTTCTTTACAAACACTATTCCTTCAATATTTTGATTATTAATGATGCATACATGCCCTAAAATGTGACCTTTCATGGAATTAAAACTTCACTGAGCATTATGAATAGAGTTTTCTCCAGTTTGCTGCCTTGAGTACTCCCCTGGGCACAGGCCTACATGTTTTGAGCATCAGAGCCCAACCTGGCACACAAATACCCGTGTATTAGTCTAATTAATTGTTAGGATATTACTAACCTGTTACACGTTGATGAACTTCAGCTGTCCCATTAGATGCATAAAGGAAAAAATAAATAGCATAAAAGATTTAACCACAGACAGCTAATAGAAAGGCCAGGCAATCAGAAAAGATGAGAAGCCAAGCTCTAAATACTTTTGCAAACAGGAGCAACCACATGTGTCAAGGTTTGCTTTGAGACTCCAAAGCTCCTCCGATGGAAAAAAACTAAGTTTCAATCTTTTTTCCCCCCCCCCCCCAGTTCTATAAAAACCTACTCAGAACATGGAAGCAATCAGCTAATGGTGGCAAGGATGTGATTTAGTGTAATTCAGAGCTCTCACTCACCTATTAAGTGTGGGGATGATGAATGGGATGTGCAGTCAGCAAAGCAGCGCTGTGATTTACCCACCTTGTCTTCCCAGGACAATGAACCTCCTCAACACCAACCCCTGCAAACCCAGGGGTTTTTCCACAGAATTTACCGTCCCTTTAGCACGAGTGGGCGTCGGGGGAAGCGTTACCTGCTGCTCTGGAGGGGACGCTGCTGCCACGGGGGGCTCGTCCACCCAGGACTCGGTGCCGTCGCTGAAGAGCCGCCGGCAGCACACCAGGGTGAAGGGCGGTGGCACCTCCTTGAGGAAGGTGACAGCCTCACGCCGGGACCTGCCACACAGCTGCACCCCGTTTACCTGCACAGCCACACACAGAGAATTAAAGGATATCTGCCACATTATTTTAAATTTTTTAATTTTTTAATTTTTTTTTTTTTTTTCTCCCCACCCAAGCCTGAAAGTTTGACTTTACCTGGGGGTTCTGGCACAGCTTGCACAGTTTTATTAACATATGCTTCTGAAGAATACACACATTACTGTAAAACTTCATCTCCAAGATCTTGTGACTGCTGACTGCTGCATCATATCTCTCTAGCTTCCTCTAACTTCTTTTCTGCTCATTGTTTTTTCAAGCCCAAACCTTTCCTAGAATTCTTATTTCTTTCTTACCGATTTCTTTGTCAGGGATCTTTTTTCTGTAAGTGTTAGGCTTATATATTTGAATTTAAACAGATAAAAGAATTAATTTTCCCACAATATTTTAAGTAAACAAAGGTTCTGAGCTCTGATCAAAAAACTGAAGTCAGAACTATCATTTTACCTAGTTTAAAGGTTTGGCTCAATGACCAAATTTTTGGTCAAAAAGTTTGGTCAAAACCACGAATCATTAAGGTTTTTTCCAACCTTAATGGTTCTCTGATTCTAACTTTGCCAATTTAAAATCTAACAAAAAGTGACTGAAACTAAAACAGAACCTACAGAAAACAGGTGAGAATGTTTGTACAGTAAGCAATTAACCAGAAAGGCCTGACAAGGGTCAAGCTTACTATACCATAAACTCAAGATTGTGAGTGATAACAGATCATTGTTAATGGATGTTCTAATCCACAGACTTTGGAAAAAAAATAAAAATAGAGAGATAAGACAGACAGAGATGATAGATAGATAGATAGATAGACAGACAGACAGACAGACAGGCAGATAGATAATGGTGCTTTAAAAATGGGATACTGCAGTTGCACTTTTTTTTGTAGTTGTCCCATCCCTGGGAATATCCAAGGCCAGGCTGGACAGGGCTTGGAGCAACCTGGGATAGTGGAAGCTGTCCCAGGGGTGGGACTGGATGGGCTTCAATGTCCCTTCCAACCCAAACCATTCTGTCACTCTGTGACTCTGCTTCTGCAGGAAAACAAGAGGGATTCATCCTCTTTTACCTATTTTATAACTTTTATGTCCTGAGGGTTCCTCTCTGCACCGCAGGGGTGTCCCTAAATAGGAGGATAGCAGGATGCCAGCAGGTGTCATAAAGCACCTTTGTGAGCCAGCACTGCAGCCCCAAAAGAGCAGGGCTTTAACCCAATCACTGCTGTGGACTCAATCCCAACACCTTGTGTGCTCCAGGGATTTCTTTCAGGCTGCCTCAAGCCTCTCTCCCAAGCAAATGTCCACAGGGCTGGAGTGCAGGCACTGGTTTGGGAATCCAGCCCCTCATCCAAGTCCCCAGCAGGAACCAAGGCACAGCAAGTGGGGATAGCTGAGGATTACCTTCAGCCCTTCCCTCCACACCCACACTGCAAAGGAGCCCACACCTGATCCAAGAAAACAGCACAGAAACGTTCACCAGACATGGACACACCTTGGTACCTGTGCACCTGAGGCAGAGCCTCTCCATAAACCTCCCACATCTCCCTTCAATCCTCAAGGCTCCACAGCAATCCCACTTTAGCCAACATCTGCTTCCTGATCACTTCTGTTTCCCTCCCCACTTTGTGCTTTTTGCAGTGTAAATACAGTTTGGACTGCTGGGAAACACAGAGCTCCTCTCACACTCTACATCCCAGCCAAGCAGAAAAATTGAGAGTGGTGGAACTGGCCTCCACCACGGCAAGACAAACTGCCCTGGGCTTCTTCTGCAAGAATTACAGCAAGTGCTGAGCTATCAGCCTCGCCCATTAGTTAATTATTTAAGCAGAAGGATCCACACGTAAGGATTTTTTAATGCTTGGAGAGTGGCAGCGCGGTGGAAAGCTCCCAGCACTTCTCAGCATCCCATGATGGATGGGGAAGAGCTGCTCTGCACCCCCCAGCAGACCTGGGGACTCCCATTTCTCCTCCTGCAGCTGCCAGAAATCAGCCTCTGAGCAGGCAAGGTGCCCTACACCCACTCATTCAGCACATCAGCCCTCAAACAGCAGGGAAATGCCACAACAAAAGGGCACAAAAAAAGCAATTTACTCCTGGAAAAGAACACAGTGGAATTAGCTGCAATGAAGGGCAGGGGAGGGGTATTGTGCTGTCTGTCATAATTCAAACACATCATTAAAAATAATCAGCATTCAACCTCACTGTACATTGAAAAAAAAAAAAAAAAAAAAAAGAAAATCCTTGCTGATCATATTTTAATCCCAAAAGTATCAGGCCCAGGTAAGGCTGCTTGTTTGGGAATGGGGCTGTCACTTTTTCCACTGCAAACCCCTATTTAAGGGGATTTATAACTTGGCTGCAAAAACACAGTTTGGGCTAAACCTGGCACTTACAGCTTTAGCCCAGAGCACATTTTTATTTTGTTGGGGTTTTTTTTCCCAACTACAGAGAAGCAAAAAATTTACACTCACTAGGTCTGGGCATACCTGTGAACTTAATTCTGAGTACAGAGTAATACATAAAACTGTTAAATATACACAATTAAAGTTTCCTAAGTTACTCTACAGTACTGCATTATTGCTTTTTCTATAAATTTTTTTTTGTTTAGTGGCCAAGCAATTTAAATGACACTTCCAGCATTCCATTAATCCCTTCCTTCAGGAATCAAGGTTTCCTCCATTAAGCAATAAGAAAATGTTTTAGGTCTTAGTGATATCAGTATGAATTTTTGATGTTAGGGGTGAAGAAGTAAAAGCAGAATAGCTGTACACCTAACAAATCAATCTTTCAGACGGCCTAATTCTGTTTCCATTAAACGTTCTTTGCATCTACTAAAAAAAGGCTCCAATATCAAAATATTCCACAAGGAGTAAGCATGCTATAAGAAATTAATGTCTTTTCATTTGGAGGCTGAGATACCAATGTACACACACACACACAAATAGGAATTATTTTAATTTTATCAAATAATTATTTTTCTGAGAAAATAGGTCTGGTGTGACTCTGGTAACTCCAAAGCTGCCCCAATACACCTCTTTACACACATTCAAACAAACTGATGTATTTGCTCATACACACAAATATCTTTCACCACTCCACAAAAAAGTTTTATTGTGTAACTGAAACCACTGTTCCTATGACTGCTGTAAATGTTTTAGGGGTGACAAATATTCAGAGAGATTATCCACCACAAAAGCTAAAGCCAAACTGTGCAAAAGACTGAGCCACAGCGCTACAAATAATTCAACACAAATATTGTCTCTGCCCTTGTAACTCTTGATACTGATACTAAAACATTTCAGAAAAAAATACCCATGAAGTCACTGAGAGGTCACAAGAATTTGACATTTTTTTCCATAAACGTGGAAGGGAACAGTGAAGAAAATGAATGAATTCCAAAGCACAACTCTGCTTCCACAACTAGTCTGGAATAATTCTATTGCACACACAGCAGCCAAGCTAGAACTGAAGAGAAGAATTTTAAGAAGGCCAAGCAAACAGGAAATACGTAATTTTTATCTTTATTTTTAATTTTTTTTACCTCCAGAAGTTCATCCTCCAGTTGCAGAAGACCAAGTGCTGCAGCTGGGCCATCTGAAGCAATGGATGAGATATAATGGTGTCCATCAAAAGTGTCCAGCTCAACTCCTAATCTCAGAGTGTGGATGGGTAACAGCTGCCAAAAGATAAATATAAATATGTATTTCAGTCTAAATCTTTATCTACCAGGATAAAAACAGATTTAGGAATCAGTAGCTCACCAAATGGAACCAAACCCACAGTAAGATGATTAAATGTTCACAGTGACCTCTCCTGTGTTACAGCACTACTGTCCATAACTTCTCTTTACAAACTGTTTGCACAAATAAAAACAACCAGTCTGTTCCTTGGGGGGAAAGGCAATTTGAACTGTATTCTCAAATAATTAAATTTAATGGGAAAAACACAGAGAGAAGCACCACCCAAAAGGTGAGCTGTCAACAAATCACAGAATGGTTTGGGTTGGAAGGGACCTTAAACACCATCCAGCTCCCACCCCTCTTCCATGGGGTTGGAGCAAAACAAAAGTAAAAGAAATAGAAATAAATAAAGGAATAAAATAAATTCCGTAATTGCCCTAAAATCTCAGCACAAGATCAGCTGTCTTACTCCTCTGGGAGCTACACTACTTCGAGGCAGAAAAAATATCCCTGAAGTGTCCTCTGTAAGTAGTTGCTAAAACTGATATCCTTTTTTCTGCAAGGGGAAATCACTGATTTTGTGTCAGCCTTTTCCCACTGGGACTCCCTAATTTGGAATTTTTCTCTAGGGAAACTCCAACCCTCAGCGCCTTAAGTCTGCTAATATCAGGAAAAGTAGAATAAAAGTGATACACTAGCCAGAAAAGGCAGAATGAATCATGGCAACCCGGGGAGGAGAGATGATCAGCAGGAGCTGCTCCTTCAGTTTGGACATTTTATGGCTTTTTATTACTGGAGTTCAAACACTGACTGTCCTGCTTCCCAAATTATTCTGGATATTCAAATAAAAGGAGCAATCCACTGATCCACAGCATTCCTTCTGAGCCATGTCCCATCATGACTTTTTGGCCCTTCCTCACTGAGGTGTCCCCACAAATACATAACTGCATCACCTCTAAAAACCTCTTCTCCACAATATTAACACAGGTATCTTGAAAATATCTTGGAAGTGAAATTAATTTCAGATCTGACAATTGAAATGAATCACACATCCCTTTGCCTGAGCCAGGATCACTACAGCAAAATCCTCTGTGGGACTAAAAAGTTGTTCAGAGTTTCAACCTCTGCTTCATTCTGTGCAATTAAATACCCCAAAATTTAGGGTTTGAGTGTGTATTTTGCTGCTTGGGGGTTTGGTAATGAACTGTTAAAAGGTTCATTTGCCTGTGCTATGAAAAGGTATTGGATCAGTCCAGGAGATAAGCAGAATATTGGAAGCCTTTTTTCTGGAAAATATAGAGCCACAAAACCACTGAATTCCTGAACCACATCTGGAATTGTGTCTTGCCCTCCCAGGATTACTCTGCCAACATACACCAGGAAGGAAACCACCATGTAAGCCTTACCTTTGAGTACTTCTGGAGCTCTGAATCGTCTTTAAAGGGCATATCCACATTCACAACCTAAAAATTGGACATCAGAACATTTTTCAACAGTGGGACAATAAAGACTTTACCAGAACGATGAAATTCTGGCAAAAAACACCCAACTCATGAGTAAAATAAACTGTACTTAAACAATGTCACATTGATGCAAAATAATTTTAAACAAATGTTAGAAAAATCTTTCAGGCACAGAACATTTACAAGTAGGAATGTGGTGATTATGCACCATTAGCAGACTCCAATATTATCCTATTCCCGGAGCCCAAATGCCAATTTTAGTCAAGTTCAGTAATCCTGTGTAAGCACAAAATGCCATTATGTTTGACACAAATACCCACACGGCCTTGCCAGTCAGAATTTGAAAGTATGACAGCTTAAGTTGTTACCTCAGGCTATAGTGCAGCCATCTCCCATCCAGACTAACCCACCAACTTCTGGCTTGAAATACATAACTTCAATTACCAAATGGGAATGGAAAGTGGGTTGTTTAAACCAGGGACAGGAAATCCTTTCAGTGTCTTTTTTTAAAGATTAATAAAATGACTATGCTCACCACCAGTTTTCTTGTATTGTCCCTCCTTAACAGAACAGATTTATCTGTAATATTAGAAGGTTATTCAATTTTAAATGTAATTAGGACAAAATCACAGAATGGTTTGGGTTGGAAGAGACCTTACAGTCATTTAGTTCCAATCTGCAGCCCAGGGTTGGAATCTGGGACACTGAAGTTGAATATTTAAAGGAAAGCTACACTTGGTTGATCTGAAAAAACCAGAGCCTTGCAAAAAAATCAGGTAACTTTTCTTTGAAAACTTCTAGTTTAATAAAGATAAGACTTTTCTTTTGGATTAGTTTTAAACAGTGCTTCCAGCATGCTGTTTTGCAGCACTCAGGGTGTTTTTTCCTGACAGACAGAACCCATTTCATGTCCATGCAGGTAACTAAATGGATTTATGACTGGCAGCTCCCCAGCCTGACACCACACGGTTCCTGCTTGGGACCTCAGCTCCTTCCACTGGCACCACAAAGGACCAGAAGCCACCAGGGCCACCAACCCCTCTCTTCCAGCAGCTATTTCCTCTCAAGATAAATACTCCTGATAGAGCCCTGTAGGCACCTTTGGGGTGAGTTCAGGGGACTGAGTGAGGACGGTGTGATGCAAGGACTGGGGGGTCACTCAAAATGGACATTGCTACTCAACACAGGAGGGAGGCACAGGCAACCAGAACCAAAAAATGACTTTCAGAATGGGATGGCAGGAGAGCTCCCTTCTATCACTGAAGAGTTTGTGATATGATGGAGCTCCTTTCTATCATTGAAATGTTAACCCCCATGGTTAACACTGTCACTGCTGACATTTCACTGGTGAGGCCGGAGGAGGATTTGGAAAGGGTGGATTCACCAACTAAGCAGGATTTCATCCTCTGTGGGAAGTGTGATAGTGCTCAGGGAGGTAATAGCAGCCCTTGGAAATGTAAGGGTGGGAATACCAAGCAACTGAAGTGGGCAGCCAAACAGATTTATTGCATCATGTACATAATCTCACACGAGCTCCAGGTCTTAAAGGAGCGCTAATGGAAGGAGGGGAAGCGAGCTTCTCAAGGCAATTCTTAAAGCTACTTTAAATCTCCCAGAGAGTGACTGGAACGATGGCTACTCCAAGTAGTAAAAATAAGTGTCTCTAAATCAACTGGACAAGCATTGCAAAGACAAACAGGGCATTTTCTTGGTGGTGGTGAGAATTTTTGAAGGCTTGGGGAAGAACGCTGTCCCGAGTCTTTTATCTGTACTGAAAAGCACAAGTGAATTACAATTTCCATCACCTCCTCGTGACAATTCATCAAAACAATCTTTTGCTAGGCAATTATTTAATATGAAGTGAAGAAATATCTACTAGACACTGGCACCACAAAGTTACACCATTGAGAATTACTTTGTATTTTCCCAGCATGTTTGAAAATCATTCTTTCATTCTTCAGATAAAATGGTAAGATTCTTCTGAAAACGAAAGCTCTACCCCGAGCCCTTTTATTATTCAGTGCCCAGTAAAACAAATAGATCATGAATGAAATAATAAAAATGCCATATATTTTAAGTGGTTGCTGTGATGCAGATTTAACAGGACAGCTGATTTCCTTAAATCACTGCTCCTGTCTGGTATTTGTATAACAATAATATCTATATAAACAGAATAAAATAAAAAGGCAACACATCCCCCAACTCATTATAACATACATTTCAGCCCTGATGTTACAGGGAAGAAAATCTGATGTTACTGATCTGTTCCAAACACTGAACTGTTCTATAAACAGCCTGTGATGCTAAGCTCACAGATCTGTAATTTAAAGAAATAACATTCATGAATGTAGTTTACTGAAATAAAACATACCATAACTTCGTATTCTGGTCCCAGCAGGTTTTCCCATTTGGATTTCAGCTCATGTGCTGGAGGGAGTGGGACTCTTCCTAAGTATGAAAGTGAATATTAAATTTACAAGCATATTCTACATTCAGAAGTACATTTACTTCTAAATATTCCAATAAAAATTCAGTGTAAATAAAAGATTAGAGGGAATAATCCCCAAAAGGGAAGCGCATTAAGCTGAGTCTATCAAACAGCGCAAATCAAAAACGTCTTTCTTAGGAAAACAATGCAAAATGTCAGCTCCTGTAAAAGTGTGATTTATTCAGCTGAGAGGCAGAAGAGGTGATGCTTGGTGATGAGATGTGAGTTCTGTACCATGCAGTACTGTAAATAAATCATTCTTTCAGGCTGCAAAACAAATTTCACACGACTTCATCGTTTGTTGCCGTAAAAACGCTTCCCACTCCAGGGAAACATCATCTCCCACCCAAATGAGCCCCTTAAGAAGGAAAACACCTGACAAGATATTGCTGTTATCGAGGGGCTGTGTCAGCACAATGCAGGCACAGACTTTATTTATACATTTGGCAGGTATAAAGCCTTGTCTGCTTTAATTAGGCCAGTAAGTAACATGAGCTTTAATATAAGCTCCAGTTCTGAACCAGTCTTCCGTGGGAACTTGGCTATCTTGACATTTATATCTTTTCAGCTTTCTTACTTATGCAACCAAGGCAGTTGGTTACAGTCCTGTAAGACAATTTGACAGAGCTAGACAGCAGAAAATGACTGGCTGCCCTGTGTTTGACCTCAGCCAGAAGCTCAGCTCACATATAAAGTTCCAAGCTGGAGCAATGTGTAACTGGTAAGAATCAAGCTCTACAGCAAATTCCATCCAGCAGCGACAGCAGCAGCATCTGGGGGCTGAATTACCAAAAACTAGGGGTTTTTTTTCCCCCCTGAATGACTTCAGTAGTTTGTCAGATGTCTAGACAAGGCACAGACCACTGAGTGTTGCTGCTGTGTCGCCCTGAAATTCAGAATGTAAAGCACAAGCTCAGGTTCTGCACACAACCAGTGAGTAAAATACCTGGGAGGGGGGGAATTGTGAGGGAATTGTGAGCTCAGAGCCCAGCAAGAGCAAAACCCTGCACAAATGGCATTGTCAGGCTGCTTTCAGCACCTTCACAGACTGCAAAGATAGAGCTCTGCAATACAATCCTCATTACACACTTCTGTAACTTTGAAGTTTTCCACTCAATAAAAAGAAAGATTGGAGTTTAGTTCTATGACAGCACAGCCCACCCCTGTTCTTTCCAGCTCACTTTCAGCCATGCCAGACAGGCCAATTCTGTCTGATCTGCACTGGGAAACCACACTGCTCAGTGCCTAAAACCTGAGGTGTCACTTGGAAATACCCAGAGGATTTCCAACCTACAGGCTCAAGCAGACACAGATATCTGAGAATCCCAGCAATCCTGATAGCTATTTTCTGCTACCAAAATGACACCCCACCAAGATTAAAAACTTGGGTTTGTAAACACAGCCCACAGTTGTCTCTGAAATTAATTATCTCCTTAAAAAATAATGGGAAGACCAATTGTCCTAAAATTCTCAACTGCCAAGGTTTCTTAACTTCACTGGAAATTAAAGTTCCTAATCTGTGACATGATCAAGCACAGGCTGATCACTGTCTTTACTTCTGAACTGTATCAAAACCAGAACACCAGTGCATTCTTCTGCTCCTTCCATCTGCAGAAAAACAGAGGGACAGAAATTCCTGAGTCTTTTTCTGCTATTACAGTTACAACAGTGCGAGCACACAGGACCTAAGCACCTGAAATCCACTGAGCAGCCAAATATAGATTTCAAGGTTCACCAGGAGTAATGAATCTCAGGGTCAAGCTCAAAGTTCAGTTCAGCAACTGTAAGCTGTGTTCAGCTGGCTGAATGCAGATTTTTTTGTCACTTCCAAAACACATTACCAAAATCCACGAGTTGTTCAGAGCAGGTGCTGATGCACGTCTCCATTTGAAGTTTTCCCCTTTCTTTCTTTCAAATACACTTTGAAGTCTCTGCTTGTGACTTCCTTAGGACTGTGGAAATGTGGGCTGAAGGGATTTGGATTGAATATATTCAATTCCAGTGGCATCACTCAATTCACTTACAATGTTCCTTTTTCCCCCAACAGCTTTTTCCACATGGCAGCTAATAGGAAATTTCTTTCTAGTCTCTCATCCAGCTGAATTCCTCATGACCTAACATATGTACCATGTCTTCTATAATGTGCAAGGCCTCAGAAATGAAAACACTTCCAGGGACAGCTTTCATTAGCAACAACTTCTCAGCATATTTAGCCTGTCCTTCTGCCTGCGCTTCCAGGCACTTTTTCATTTCTAATTAGCAAGCATAAAGCAGAAACCACAAACCTATTGTAAAAATCATCTTTTCTGGTCAAAATTGTCAGCTTCATCAAAACTGGGGTCTTTTTTTCTCGCAGCTTCCTCCTGCTCTCACAAAGTTACTACACAAGGGTGCTCTTCATTCAAGCCCTTCCTTTACCTGCCCTACTGCTGGGGCTTTTTCCCCAGGCATCTCTTAAGCTCCTGACTGCCAGCATTGTCCCTCTGGGTTCTGAGAACTCCTGCAAGGCAGGATGGAGCAGTTCTGCCCAGCCTGCAGGCTTGCAGAGGCTGCAGCTGTTAAATTCATTGCCTGCACTCTGCTAGCTCTGAGTTTCAGGCCTCGTGCACGTTGCAGCCCAAACTCTGCTGCCTTTGTACCAGAACTGCTTAAGCATGGCTTTGCCTGGCCAGAATTACTATTTAATACCTCCCCAGGAAACACAATCTAATAAGAATTTCACACAATGGGGCTTAAAGGGAAGTAATACGCGTTTTATAAAACATACCTTTCACATTAAACTTCTAAAAGCATTTCCAGAGTTTAGTCAGAGCCTTAAATTAGCAGTATTTACTTTAGCACCATTATAATGAAGTGCCCATCACCACATCCAAAATAAGCACCTATCTCTGGAATTTAAACTTGGCCATTAAATTTGGTTCCAAGGTGAAATCTCATACATCGTATTTCTGCAGGAGTAAAATATGCATACAAGTCCCACAGTAAAAAAACCAAAAAAACTGGGTAAGTGACACAGGACAGACAAAGTGCTGCTCTTTTCCAGCCTCTGTCATAGCCAAACAATGCTTTGAGAACCTCAACTCTCAGCTACTCAACCACCTCTGTTCTGGCTTCCTATTTCTGGGAACATGCAAAAGTCACAACAAAGGATGTCTGGTTACAAGGCTTGGACAGAAAAGTAAAACAGAATGGAATATAGGAACTGCTACATTTCTCTCGTTTCCAGGTTGTCTTTAATACTGACAGATCTTCAACAATCACAGCAAAATTGCTATTCATTGACAGCCGTAATTTAGAATCCTCTATTACATCTACATGTCTCAGAAACTACAAGGCATAAGGATAATTTATGCTGACTTTAACACAAGCTGTATAAATTCACCCAGAATTCCTGTAGAGGAGCCCAGAAATCTGTGGGGGAATTGAAGGTTCTGGAAAGACCTCCAGCCTTGGTTCCAAAGTTAGCCAAACCCCAGAGCAGCCCATGCCTCTGTGACCTGCCCCTGTGCCTGAATGCCATTTGTTCAAAAAATGCCTTTTCTGAACTCCAGCTATTGGGTCTTTACACCCAAGATACGAGTTCTGATGAAGCTACTGCAGTGTCAAGAGAGGAAAGTGCAGCATGTTCAGAGATGATGGAAACCAGAAGAATATTATAAAAATACTCTGCAGGAGTCTTAGATGTGTGAGGGCAGGAAGGTCACAGAATCATTAAGGCAGGAAAAGATCTCTAAGATTATTGTGTCCAGCCATGAAGATGGCTGTGACTGAGGTAACACTGATCAGGAAATAAATATGAATTCCCTGCAGGTCCATCTCCTGGTGCTGCTCACCCAGCAGGCCCTGGCAGCAGAGGAGGATGATAAATAAAGTCTCTCCCAGGAGAAAACTGCACACCTCAGGTCATCAGTGCAGGACCAGGACCACAAAGAGGAATCCCTGAGCTGGAGGCTTTCAGCTCTGCAGAGTCAATGAGAGTCATACCTGAGTACCAGAAGAGCTGCACTTCCACTGACTGTAACCTTAAAAAATCCCTCCCTAAACAAAGGGGACCACTGCTGCCTGGAAAAGGGCAAATTTTACGCAAGGAAGAAGATCCAGAGAATTACAAACCCTGAGATATCTCAGAACCCACTCTCAGCAGACCTGTGGACTGTGGGGAGAGTTGGTTAGATCCAAGAGGCAGATCTTTGCTTCAGAAAGATGTTTTGAGCCAACCCATCAGTGTTGAAAATGGATTTCCTATGGTAGCCTTTAACCAGACCCAGAAGAGGCACTGCAAGGTGCCCTATCTACCTGCTTGATGCAGACTCTGCTGCTTTTCATTGTGCAGATTATCCTTCTCTTCTTGTTTTTCCTCATTCCTAGGGGCCACACTAATTTCAGGCCCTACAGCTCCAGGGGACACAAAGATTGGAACAAATGGCTGCACTGTAAAAACAAATTTTAAAAATCCAAATCATATGCTGCAAAATAAAGGAAGTAGTAACACCACCTCACTAACTCTGTTTTTTTTGGTGGGGTTACTACACAGAAGTTTTGCACTGAATTTTCCCGAATCTTTCATTTTAGTTTCTTTCCATTCCTCCTTTAAGTGTCTTCATTTTCTACAGTGCACCGTTAAAAAAACCGAGGATCATGTGGTATCCAGTCCTGAACTGTTAAATGAGGTAACTGTAAATTGAGTGAAAAATAAAATCAGTGGCTGGCAAAACAGAATTACCTCTCCCTGAAGGTGTTTCTGAGGAAATAGCAAAGGAAGGTCTCCTTCTAAGCAGGGTGAGACGTACAGTCTGACCCGTGTTCCGCAGTGTCTCCACCACTTCTTGGTTGGTAAAACCCTGTATGTTGACTCCATCAACCTGAAACGAGAAATTTGTATCAAATAACAGTAATTGTGCTGCAATCTCAGGCTGTGTTGTGGAGTTTCACAGGCTGTAAGCAACAGCCACGTTATTTAGTGCAGGAATTACAGGGTTACTCTCCCAAGACAGCAATATTTGCAAAACAATCTCATTAAATCTGTTACATTTCACTGATGAGAATTTATTTCCAAAATTCATTCTAAAAGGAAACACAACAGTAATTTCTTCTTTCTGTTTTCGTGGGGACAACCACAAAACAGAATTTACTAATCTGATACAAGTATGGACAGATTTTTCCTTTTTTTTTTTTTTTTTTTGCCAACCAAAACCAGCTTGACAAGGACTGTGGATGAAGGTTCCTAGCAGAGTATCCAACCTGGAACTCTGTTCAGTTCATTATCACTGCTGGTTTTCTCATGGATTTCTAACATGCCCCACACAAGCCTCTACAAACAACTGTCTGTATAATCCATCCTCAACAGCCCAATTCTTACATTATCAGATATTTTAATTTGCACCCAAAATACTCTGTTCACCTCACTGTCAGATCATGCACCAATAGGGCCTTTCCTGCAGATAAAAGGTTATATTAATTCTTGCTCTCACAGAGGAGAAGCTGACTTTGGAAGGTCTGGCATGACACACATTTTAAAAGTAATTTAAAATCATATCTATATAAATATTATCTCTTAAAACAAAAAGACTGTGGAATTCATTCCTGCTTGTGCTGTGAATGCAAAATTGGCTATTATTCAATTCACTGTTATTCAATGGTTTTTCCATTTTTCTACACATAAAGCTTGGGCTTTTAAACCTAAATTGTGACCATTAACATTTTGATTGTATCCACACTCCAGAGCCATTAAGGAACACAAACAATGTGCCACGTCTTGCAGAATCTTAACAATCCTCGAGTCCCATTCAATTCAAGTAGAAGTTAATGCTGCTCATCTTTACTGCAGGCCAAAAGCCAAGATTCTCCACTCTGAAACACTTTAATCCAAATGCTTGCCTCTTTCACAGTTAACTACTATTTACTATTTCTTTGAATATAAAATAATACTTTAACCACAGCAAGCCAAAGCTCATTTCTGTCACAAGTCTACCTAAACAAACACAAACCTCCAAATTATTTCTTCTGCAAAGCAGAGGAGGTTTAATTAATTTGAGAAAGTCTTTACTATGTTGTTCTTTTAACAGAGATGTGAAATGTATTAGCTCTACAGCAATGTATAAGCAGAGTATTCTACTTACAGCAACAATTTTGTCATGAACATGAATTTGGCCATTGTGGTCAGCAGCACTCCCAGGTATTATACTTTTCACAAAAATCCCTGAAGGTTCTGTTGGGGAGGGAATAGAAACAAGTCACTGCATTAACCTAATTTTCTTATTAAGGTTTTTAATTCCAGCCTTTTTCACACACTTCCTTCTGCCCATAAAGTGATGATTCTGTAAACCACCACCATCTGCACGTTACCACTCCCACAGCCTGACACAAAACTGAGGCTCTCTGGTGGAAAAAAACCCAGCACTGACACAACCACCTGTACACTGACCTCAAATATTTTCCTTAAAATGGCTCACAAAAGGCCACCTCCTCCATGGATTCATCCTTGTGCTTACCCAGGCTTTAAAGCACAATCACTTAAATCCATGCTGCGTTTGATTTCAATAGGACTAACTAAGCTAAAAGTAAAGTATGTGCTTAAGGACTTTGATCAGGACTTCAATCATCTTACAGCTAAAGAATTTAGTACTTTAAATCTTAATGAAAAAGGATTTTTCCTTAAAAAAAGAGAAAAGAGAAGAGAAACATGGAAATCAGAAAAGCTGTCCTTTGTCATGTTTGCAGCTTGCTTATTAATTCTAACTTCCAATGAGAACAAGAAAATAAAACCAAAGAAAAAACAGAATTAAAAACCCCTGAAACACTAACACTTCCCTTTCACAAACTCCCACTAAATAGGAGATGTTGATCTGTAATTCCAGTGAATTTCATGTCTCCATATCCTAGCACAGGCAGGAGCCATTCATTTTCCCCATGGTCAATAAAGGGTATTTGAGAAGCCCCTGTCCAATATTTTCCTAAATCCTGTACAACTCACCTATATCACATGTGCCAGCATATCCAACAATTGTTATTCCCAGGCTTTGCCCATTCTTTTTTATAAGTTCAACATCATAGGTGTCAAAAAAGTTGTCATTGTCCTATAAATAAAGCACAAGTTAGTAAAAAATTCTCGTAATTTCCCAGTGTCATTACAATATTGCAGGTTAATTAAGACCTTCAGAAGTGAGAAGTGATTTTGGTTTTCCTTTTATTTAAATGCAATTTAAATTAATTTGTAAAGTCCCTACAAAGCTGGCCCTGGGATGTCTGTGCAACTCTCCTGTGAGCAGTAAAAATCAGAACTGCAAGGCAAGAGTTCAAACAGGGAACAGTAAAGACACTGGTGAGACCAAAAGAGAAAAACAATCAAGCACATAAATCTGGGATTGCAAGGGATAAATTGAAATACATAGAGTTGTTTTCTTTCTGTAATCAGATACAGAGCAATGAGATCAAAAAGAAGATGATGAGAGTAAGGTCTGTTAAAGTGATGAAATCAAGAGGGATCCTGTCGCTGCCAACAGCAAAAAGGGACTGGGAAAATGGAAAACATTTCATAAGGGAGTGAAAAAAGAGAAGTTCAATCAAATGCTTGCCAAGCATCAGCTTTGGAAGGACCCATATGAAAAGCAGCCATACCCATTTCACTTCTCAATGAAGGGAAATCGATGGGCACTATCTCCTTATCACACACACCTCCCTCCACCAGCAAAGTTATTAAGCTCATTAAATGCCTTCCAACTCCCTTGCTCCATAAGAGGCTGATGGAGATGAAGATAAGTTTGGAGGCTGTCACTTATCTACAGTAAACAAGCCCAGAGCAGCACCTGGAATGGAGCTGTGGCCCTGAGAGCCTGGCTGTTTTCACCATCAAAGAGCTCCTCAGGGTCAGTGCTCTGGCTACAAACATTTCTCTCTAAGTGACACTCCTGCTAGGATGCAAAGTAATTGAAATGAAGTCCAGAAAAATCAAAGTGCAATGTCCTAAATACAGTCAGCACAAGCTGGCTGCACTCTGCTGTCACTATCTTAGACAGTACAGATAATAAGATTGTTTTTTCTTGTGCCCACACACAGAAGTAGTTTCAGTTATTCTCTACCACAGGAAATTCAAAGAAAATTAAATATGAATATAAAACTGAAAATAACTAACCACCTATTAAAAATGGCTTTCTGCTGGTTTGCAAAAAAGAGAAAAGGAAAATATTTTCCACTCCAAAGCTCACAGCTAGTGAAAGTACTCATAAACCAGAGAAAAACTAGATTATAGGGATAAGTTCCATTATAAATCTGACACAAACTGAATGGTGGATCATTGAAGTCATCACTAAATTAATAAATGCATTCAGATTAACAACTAATCCTGTCTTTGCAAATTTCTCCTGGCACCAGGAAGAGGAGTTTTTTCAGAACTATACATGAAGGCACTATTTAGTTCAGAAAGTGATTTTTTCCCCCTCTAAACTGCATAGCAGGAACACGAAGGACACTGAAAAGACACTGAGAAAAAATCACATTTTAGAAAAGCTGCAGCATTTACAGTGCTCAGGGCTGATCAGTGGCAACAGGAAGAGAGAAAAACAGTATTTTGTGGAGGAAACAAAAATATGACCACTACAAAAAAAAAAAATTATTTATTTTGCCCCTAATATGTGCCCTGGAAAATATGATCCAGACAGGAAAGAAGGGCCTCATAACAATGCTGATTCCCTTGGAAAGCCTCTTGTCAAATATTGGACAAGCCCAGTGTTCAGACTCCAGCCTTAGGGATGCAGATCACCCCTCCCATCTCCTGGACACTGCACTGATCCCTCCTGGGGAACCCTGGGGAGAAAAGGGGCTCAAGAAGGACCCAAAATCCTTGACTGACACAGCCACAGCATTTTCCCAGGGGTGTAAAACACAAATCTGCCTTTGCAGTGACTGTGCCCAGTGAGCAAAGGGGCGAGTTTGGAGCAAAGTGACTTCAACTCTGACCTTCAAAAACAGTGCTTCAAAAAAAAAAAAAAACAGAATCAAAAAAACAACCCAGCTCTCTCCACTCACATTCAAGAAACTAAACAAGAAAGAAAAGGCTACTCAGATTCTACACCTAAATCTAAGCAGCACAGTAGCAGCAGATGGTACACAAGCACAGCTTTGTTTATGTTTCGAGACCTACTGTACACTTAGTGTAGCATTTGTTGATTTTAATTACTCAAAACTGAAAAGAATGACTTCAAAAACAAGAGACTTTGATATGACCATGATAAGATTTGCTAAAACAAGTTTCAAAATTTTTAGATATATTTCCTATCACAGGCAGTAGCGTAGACTATGAAAACATTACACTTATGTTTCATAAAAAGATGATTGTGCTGAATAATTCTGGTGTGGCTCTCTGGATTTCAGGCTTAGGGAAATTCACAGTCCAGTTTTAAATCCACTCACAAATGATTGATTAGAAAAAATGTAACGAGCTAAGAAGAAGAACTAAAAGTACCACTTATCGATAACGTTTATGGTCTTGGTAATTAAATCAGCCACTGGGAAATAAATTCTGTAAAGCTGGCCATTCCAATCCCAAGATTATAGGTATTAATAAGAGAGAGGAAAAAGGGGAAAATTATAGAAGGCAGGGCTGTAATAATGACCACTTAAACATAAGCATATATCTGGAAAATCAAGAGAGAAGAAGCACTTTAGGGCTCAAGAACTCTCTGTTCCCTCCTTCCTTTCTGATCACAAGCCACAAACACATTTAAAAATGTCCCAAGGAAGCAGCAGATACTCACATTTCCATTTGGAAGGGAAGGCAATGTGCTGACTGGCCAGCTCAGGGGAGCCGGTGGAGCCTCCATGAATTCACACTTGGGGTCCCTCGCCACGATCATCCTGACAGAATTCCCACAGTTCCTGAGCACTTGGGCAACCTGCTCACTGGTCATGCCCTGCACGTTGGTCCCTCCAATCTGCAAGATGTGGTCTCCCGTCTGCAGCCTCCCGTCCTTCAAACGCAAATCAAATGGCAAAAAGTGTTTCCAGTCCGTCCACAAAGTATCTGTTCCATCACAAAACTGAAACTGTGCAGGGGCATCTTCACATCGGCCATGAGAACCAATGTGAGAAAATGCCAGGAAAAATGACCACCGTGGCAACATTTTAAATAACTCAAGGACTCGTTTGCACAGTTATGTGCTGTTTTTTCCCACTGTTTTGCTCATTTAGGAGAAAACGGGCAGCAACAATGTTTTATAATCTCACAGATTGTTGTGTGTTCTGTTCCATAGAATACTCCTCATCATTCTAACTGAGGTAGGAGTTAGAATATAAGCACAGCATTTTGATTTAGCAATTTTTTTTACAGAGTTCTTCCCTCATACTTCTACATTAGCCTGGCAATTTTGTTTCTCATGTGACCAGCTCCAACTTCAGTGAGTAAATCCACCGAAGGTAACAAGACTCCACACAATCCATTTTTTACCTGATAATTATGATTCATGACCTACAACATCGTTCCCATCATAAGCAGGAACTTCTAGCACCAAATTCTCAGCTGGTATTGATCAGCACAGCTCCACCACCTTTGGTGCACTGATTTATACAGCAATCACGGAGTTATTCCCAGAACCAACTCAAACTCATTTACAAACTCATCCAATTTTAACATGTACATGCCTCATTATTTCACATGTTCTTAATGATGTCTCATTCAGTGGTGAGTTCTTAGCTTATATGCTTCATTGGTAGCCAAAACACTTTATTCCTTACAGCAAAACAGGTGCTAGACAAAAATTAAAATATACTCATTTATACATGGCAGGTTCAGAGGGAGATGGTTGAGAAAAAGCCAACATTTTCCAATAAAGCTCTCCAAATTCCCAGCTTTTATTCCATAAATAAAAGCTGTAGAGGAACTACTTTTGCCTCTCTCTTTTGTCTGCAGGGGTTCTGGTCCTCAGATATTTTAACTTATCAGGACCAAATTTGCTTGAAAAAATCTGAAGCTGTTTGGTTACTGCAAGTGTTCTAGTCCTGAAATGCAGCAACACTCAGCACTGAGTCTCTAAAGACAATCAGAGGTGCAAACTGTGCCTGTGCAACTTCAAAGGGCTCTGCACCAAACCTAAATGTCTCCTTGAACTGGTCAGGCTGCAAGGCAGGGATCAAACCCCCCTGCACTGAAACCCTCTGAAAATAGGACATTTTCAATCTCTAAACTGAATCTTGCAATGCAGTGACTTTGGGAGGGCAGGTTTCCTTGCCTGACAATTCACTTGGAGAGTTTGTCCCCATGGGTGCTGCAAAATGTGCCAAATTCTACAGAGTATTCATCCTGCCCCAGACTGACCAAGGGCTGAAAATACTAAATATCAGGCACCTTTTCAGAATTTTTGCGTGTTCAACAATGTTACAAAAGCCAAATCTTGTCTGAGGAACAACTTAATTTATATCAGGTGCTGACTTTTTCCTCAATCATACCTTCAACCTTTATTTATTTATGAAGCACGTGTTGGCATACAGACTTTGATGCTACCAGCTTCTTTTTGTTTAAGTATATTAGTTTATTTTAAGACTGTCAAAAGCGGTTAATTATACTTTGCAATCAAACAAGAAGTGACATAATATAACAAATTACCCGATCTGCTAATCCCCCAGGAACAATTGTTCTTACAACTACTCCACTCGACTTTCCTCCTACAATTCCAAAGCCTAATCCTGAACCATCGTTAATCAGCTCAACGTCTTCGACGTGGCCCCAGTGAATCTGCAATTAATAAAAACAGGAGATTTTAATTTTGACCATTGTTAACGTTTCTCGCTTTCACGTGCAGCGGGGAGGAGGAGGAGGAGAATTAATCAGAGCAGTTTTCTGTCTCCACCCCACATGCTGGAGGATCTGTGGGATTCTGTTCACTCAGCTCCATTTCCTCATAAACACGCAGTGGGATTTCTCATCTGTTTTTAAACACTCATTTCTGTCCTCCACTCTCAGGGTAACAGGATACCAGGAAAAAGCTTGACTAAGAAAAAGCAATTTTAAGGTTTTCCTGCCAAAATGAAAAGCATCCTTTTAGTTTTTCATAAATCCAGAGTACTGCAAACAAGAGGGAAAAACAGAGGCAAGGAGCTTGCACTGGCCCAGTTTTCACTCAGCCTTGCCCAAATTCTCATTTCTGTTATTTCACTTACACACTCTGAACACCCCCATTCAGCACTGAATTAATAGCACAGCACAATATTCTGCCATACTGGATTGGAAGCAAATTTCTAAGCTACACTCTACCATGACCTTATGTTCTACAAGACAATCTGAAAATAACAAAGCTGTTAAGCAACCCAAACCCAGCCAATGTTTCTGTCAGATTAATATCTCATACAGGCCCAAATGGAGCAAAGTAGGCAGATTTAAGTCTTCTGCGAATAAAGGATTTATTAGCATACTGAAAATCTTTGCCAAAGCCAGTTAAATATCATAAAAGAAGTTTAAAGACCCCCTGCAGAGATATATATTTGTATTTTATTTTGTTAGTCTGTTCGGTGCAGATCTTTCAATGAAAAAGCAGTTAAAATTTAATTCTTTAAAATTTTCAGTGCAATAAACAATATTGATTATCCACTAAAACCTTCAGATTTCACTACCTCTATAATAATGAGGGAAATAATTGCTAAGAATAAGGAAAAACACTACTTTTACCCAGATTTTCATCAAAATCTACTAACACAATAAATTCAGATTCCAATATTGCGATCCCTGGATTTAGGTGTGCAGTTTGTCCGAATTCAGGGAAGCCACCTGGACCATATGGGTGGAACACAGATGGAAGTTCAGCCCTGGTTTATTACATGTCCCAGTGACAAGCTCTCCTTTGTCACAAAAACAAAAGGCTTCCCAATCACTGAAATTTGCAGATGAGGAAAAACAAAACCAAACCCCAAAAAAACCCAAGCTGATAAATAAACAGGGATTGAGGGGTTCTTTAACAGATAAATTGTGTTTGTTTTTTAAAACAAAGACAAGGCTTTTTTGGTGTGAGCAGTGCCAGCTTAAATTGGTTGGGCTGTTCCAAGCAGTGCTCATGGCAGGTTATGTTTACTCTCTTTTAAGAGGTAATCAGAGCATCTTTAATTGCTGAGCACAAGTAGGTTTCAGCTGGGTATTCTCATAAAATGCTTCAATCAGCCTGTGCTGAACAGACCCTGCTGATAAGAATATGGTGATCCACTAAAGCTTCTGCTATCCCATAAAAACCCAGGATCTGTTTTATAACAACTCCACCGTGCAGCTTTGCAATGGAAGCTCTGTGCTTACTGCACGGTGAGTCTAAATGAAATGTCATCACACATAAAATCTGATTAAAGGAAAAAAATCCTTCTATGTAAAACTTGCTAACACAAACCCCTTCAGAGCCACGGGGATAAAAAAAAAAATTTAAAAAATTAAAATTCAGCCCAGCTCGAAATCTGATTTGGACGGTATTACAAGAACTCACAGTCTCAGGTGGATTTACATCACTGAACAAGGCAGTTCTGCTGTTCCCTTGAAGTGGCTCCCGAGCCACCACCAGATGCAGGGATCCTGTGGATTGCTGGAGGAGGGCAATGGCGTGCTGATGGGAAATGTTCTGATCCAATGGCGTGCAATTAATGGCCAGTATGTGGTCATTTTCCCTCAGTCTTTGATCCCTTAACAAAACATTGAAAGCAATTTTTTAATGCAGCACAGTGACTTCGCATCAGGCTCCTGTAACTGAAATGTGAATAGGCAAAACATGCAGTCCTGCAAGGTTAAATGTTTATATGCTTTAAAAATCTGCTTATTAGGATGCCTTCACCAGCTTACACACTCCATTCTACCCACACTGTTCCAAACTGCCCAGCCACATTTTGCTCCAGCTTTGCCATGGTACAGAAATTTGCTCACTTCTTTACTCTGCTTCTGTGCAAAATTTAATTGCAATTCTCTTATACTTTCTTGATGATATTGAACTACAAAGCAGAAAAAAGTATTTTTGTAGTTACACAATAAAGTAGGAACTATTCTTCATTATGTTCAGCACTACATAATGCCATCTCTAGGAACCCACAGCTCAGGCTTTGATGCTGTTTTGTATCACTATTTATTCTAAAGATTGATGTGCTGCATATTTGTATTTTACTTAAAATTTATAGTATCAAGCTTCAGACGTGAAACTTTCTTGGAGCAACACGCAGTTCAGTTGCTACCTTGAGATAATATAAATTTCACAGTTAATTCACCCCAGTGATGAATTTAGATTTGTGACAAGAGAGAAACCATCACTCATCTCCTTTGTTAAATATTCATTCTGAGCACGAGACCAAACTGTTACATAGACAGACACTGCCTTCAAAGCTCTGTAGGAATCCAAAAAAGTCTCCAGGAGATCTTGTCTCAGAAGCAAAATGGGAAGCATGCTGGGGAAATTTATAAACTCCCAAACAATGTAACTGCACATCTTAACTAAGGCATTTGAAACTTCCTTTTTGTCGTGCCATGTTTAAGATGTTTCCCAGAAATCACTTTCTTCGAGCACTAACCATATTTCAGATTCTCTCATCAAAGAAAGTGAGCAGCAGGTCATCAAATCCTAAAGTGAGATATTCACCCTCCTCTGACATCCGGATCAGTCCATCTGTCTCCACTTTGAAAGAGCCTTAATATGCTTTTCTTTAAGTGTTCTCTGGTGTGTTCTCTGCGGGCCCATCGCCATTATCATTCCAACCTCTCCCCACTCTTTTTGTCATCCTGTGTTGGCACTTCCTGACATGTGTTATTTAAAAAGTGACACCAATGACTTGAAATCTAGACACATTTTTCTTGAGACATAATTCCAAGCACTGCGTTTGTCTCATGCCAACTCTTGCGGTTTTACAATTGCGTTTTATTTTTAAAGGATTGCTCTGTCTTTTGTTGTTGGGTGAAAACCCACAGACAATACAGGAAGAAACTGCCTGAAGCCTCGATTCTATGATGACATCTGTGCAGGGATCTGTTGGGAGGAGTGGATCTAAATTTACACAGGAAACAAACAGTAAAACCAACTATAAATAGGGCATTGTCAGAGGCACGTTAATAAAGGGGGAAAAAAAAAAATCTTTCAGGGACACAAGGCATAAAAATTAAAAAGGAGTCTAATTTTTATTTTCTTTGTATTCTTTTCTGAGTTTTCTTTTGGTTTTTTAATCAGGACTCAAGATTCTCCAAAGTGAGTCATAATTTCTGTAAATTCCATTTATGAATGGCTCGGAAATTTAAAACTCATCTGAAAACTTGATCCTCAAAACATGAGTCCCTTTCAGCTGAAAAGCCAGAATTCAAGATACCACCACCAAAATATCCCACCAGATAACCCAGACAAACATGTTATTCTGATTGAGTTTTCAACGTGAAGGTCATGACTTTTCCCTGCATGGAAAATACAGTTTTCCAACACAATTATGAAGATCTCACCTGTCAGCTATGCTTCCTGGCTGGACTTCCTTGACAAAGATACCAACTTCTCCCAGGCTGGGATTTTTAAGGGCAACCACACTGAATCCAAGCCCTCCAACAGAAGGTTTATCAATCGTTATTGATTCTATTTGTCTTCCCTAATAAAACAGAAGATAAAATGATTTACTAATTTTCAGTGCAAATGAATGAGCTAGTTGAAAATTTATGAACACTGGGAGAATTATTCCCCTCCTAAGACTAAACAAAGGCAAAATACTGAATATGTTATTTCTATAAAAGCTCCTCCATTTATTATTTTTAATATGGCAATGTATTGGATATGCAAGCACTCTGAGGTTCTGAAACCTCAGGGAATTTAAGAGCTGCTTTCACACTTCATTCACATTATGAGATGAATTCCAAACTGGATGAAAACTATGAACGAAGTGCTGTCTAGAGCAATATATTTGGGATTTCTGGAAATGCTGTATAGCTAAACTAAATTACTTGTCTTTTGGCTCCCCTTGCTTTTAATGCTGATTTTTAGGTGTGCATTCAAAAAGCTGCAGCTTTTAAATAAAGAAATTAATTTCCTCCCCTTCCCTGCAGCTTCACACTTAATGCTAAAAAAGTTTGCTTTTGCAACTGCCTGTTTTTCAGTTCTAATACAAAATTGCTGGGGTTGTTTACTGGGAAATATTGCTGGGAGAATGCACTGCTATCACAGCTCTTTTATTCCAAATAAGGTGCAGCCTTTACTGCTAAATCTTATCTCTGATGAGTTAATGACACACTAATGAGAAGAGTAATGCTCAAAATATTACAGCTACATTAAGGTAGTCAATTAGCAACAGTTACTTAATACAGAAAGGCATGACTAAGCAATTAAATTAATGGTTCAAAATAACACAGAACAATACATTTGTGGTATAAATGCCAATCCCACATGGGTGGATGTCTGCACCTGTACAAATTCTTAGGGAATTTGGTACATCTGCATCTGCCTGGCAAAGGTAAGAGATACTAAATAAAGAGTTAAATAAAATATTACATGCTAGCTTTTTTAATCCTTTGCACTGTTCATAAAGCTGGTACATTTCCAATTTAAAATGTACTTGATAAACAAGTGCCTCCATCAAAACAACTTTCTGCTGAAAATGTCCATTTTCAATTAAGTGTCATCAAATACCAAAAATGTTTTCTGGCAGCTGAAACTTCCTTACTACGTTGGTGTGTTTGGTAGAAAGTAAAACAGAAAATTGGCAATGGAAGTTAAAAAAACAAAACAAGCCACCAAGCCACTTCCTATTGCTGACATTATCTTCCAGAGGGAAAAGTTCTCAACACCTCTACTCTCTCCTGGTCAGGAGGCACCACGCTTCCAGACACACAACAAAAAAAGCAGTGTGAAATGCTCCAAAATGAAAAAAAAAAGTTTGGTTCACTAAACCTTAGAGCCTTACCTTTGCCATTTGCTGGATGATCATGTTAAATTCATTAACTGCCAGGTTTGGAGTGAAGGCTGATGCTCTGGGTGCAGGTGAAGTGCAAGGTGTCCCAGCAGTGACTGATTTGTCAGCAAACACCAACAGCCCCCTCTTGGTAAAATCAAAATCCACCGAGCGGTCGGGAGGCATGTAATTGAGCTGTTGAAAATGAGCAGAGGTGTGGAAAAGCCATTGAAAACAAAAGAAGGGTTCTCCACAAACACCATTTTATGTGCAGGCCGCCCAAGGAGCAAAAAAACCCTGTGCTCATATATTCCCATTCACACAAATATACTCACCTGTATAAATCAGGCAGTGTTAATACATAATCTATAACCAAGCTACCATATCAAATTTAGATGTTTTTCAGGAGTTCCCTTTTTTTCAGGAGTTTCAGCTGTGTTTCTACTCCACTCATTTTTCTCTGTTTCTTTCATGCTTCTCCCCTGCCTGTGCCCCTTGCACTCTTTTCACCCTGGTATTCCAGAAACAACACATGCAAAAGCACCAAACACTAAAGAGGCTCTCAAGCACTGCTGCAACTGTTAGGGAAACCTGTATAAAATTTTTGGCACAAAAATTCAAGTATTTTGAGTCATTCAGGAGCCTGAGGCCTGGTTTGTATTATCCCCTCCCCAAGGAGAGCCGAGGGTACAAACTACCACTGAACATGTTATCGCTGCTGGAACTTGCACTTCTAGTCCTCACTGATAATGAAGAAATGAAAAATATTCCCACTGTGACAAAATAAACTGGAAAATCCCATCCTGAATGAAGCAGCTCATGCTTAAATAGAATTTCAAGAAGGCCCAAATTTTCTAGATACGAGAATCCTGAACATTCCAAATACAAACCCCACTATGTCACAGCCACTTCTTAGATACATTTGCATTTTCTACATTTGTTTAACAGCCTGCAGACGTGCATCCAGGCCTTGGAAGGAAGGGATGCAGCACTTCTGGGAACTTGGGAAGGATGGATAATGACTGGTGGCACAGCCACCACCAGGCCAGGCAGGCAGGAACACCTGCAATACACCTGGCAAGGGACAGCCTTGTCCCCCTGACACCCACCCTGCTGGTCACCCCCTGGTTTTGAGTTTGCTGATGGTTTTAACTTAGCTGCAGGGTGAGACCTGTCCATGCCCATGTGCACAAAATCAAGTGTCACCTGGCTTTACAAACCAAACCACGGGAGTTCCAACCTCTGCTGAAGCCAAGTCATTGTAAAACTCGCTTAGGTACAGCTGCATCAGAGCTTGGCAAATCTTCAGGCTGGGTTTTCTACACTTTACTTGCCAAAGCAGGTTAAGCATTCTTGTAAAAATTAGCAGGAACTAAGTGATGCTGTCTTTTAGGGAGGAAAAAATGCTGCCAGTGGGCTGATAAACAGCACTTAGCTCCAGTGAAAAACAAAGGATCCCAGTTCCAACACTGCTCAGGACTCCAAACACTGGAGCTGATGTCTTTTGCAGATGTTTTTTTCCAACATAACCCCGCCTGTCCTGCATCCCTGTCAAAGCACGCTGCCCCATGACCTCCTGGTTGCAAAACCACTTCTCATTTCAGCAGTGACTCTGCAGACACCAGCTCCACAGAAGAACAAAAAGGCCCAACACTCACTAGCACCATGTTACAGCCTATTAACGAGAGTGCCCTCGTTAACGCACGCCTACACACGCTGACCCAAGCTCCACTGGCCCAGAGTCACCATCACACCCACAGCAGCGACTTCACACTCACTTGCTCCTTCAGCTGCTTGATGGATTGCTGGAGAGTCAGGATCTGGTTGAACAGGGGGCTCCTGAGGGTGTTCCTTAGGACAGCCAGGTTTTCCTGGTGCTGGGAATCCCTTTTCTCCTGCAGCTTCGCCTGCAGCCGGTCCAGGATCTGCAGCACCTGCTGCTTATCTGCACCACAGACCAGGCCAGGTTAGGGATGGAGCTGCTTGGCTCAGTGCTCAGCAAAAAGAATCATTTTCAGACCACTTACCTGCTGCTGGATTTTCTGGCATGTTGAGGGGTGGTTTTGGAATTGATCGGAATAACCGAGCTGAGATTTAAAAAAAAAAAAATCAAATTAATTAATGATAGATCGAAACAGATCAGTAACACTTGATAAATGCAATAATACCATGCTAACTACAAGAAGTTTAATTAAAAACTACAAGAAATTTAATAAAAAATACTACTACCCCTGTTGTTTACCCAAAGTATTTAACAAAGCTCTCAACATAGCCTCAGCACATCCAAAAATTTTTCCTTCTTCCACGTGCTTTTCCTTTCACACACAGGAAGGAATATGAACAACTCTTCCAAACATAAATAAAAATGCAGGTTATGAAAAAAAAAACCAAACCTGAAAAGGAAAAACTGAGACAGACATGTTCAACCAAATTATTTTGAATATTGACATTAAAGTTGTGATCTTCACAGATATACACAGAGCTAAAATCTACCTATTATTTAGAAGATATTTTCCACCTGATCATTTGTAGACAGTATTCTTCAGATCATTTGTAGACAGTATTGCAACATTCTGGATGGCAATATAGGTGAAACTTTGTGTTCCCCCATAAAACAGTGAAGTTCACTCATGGGACAGCACGGAATTAAAGCCCAAAATCTGGCATATTAATCCCTGTTCCAACACATTCCCGAGGAAGATCTGTTCTAATCACAGCCTGATTTACAACAGGTGAAGGAAGCCTGTTCTCCTGCAGGTGTTTGCCTTCCTCTTTTCTACAAACACGAACAGCAAAATATCCTTTATTAAGCTTTTAAGGAACAGAATTTCCTTTATCAAGCTCCTCCACAGTGCCAAACAGAACAGGTCTCCAACAGGGGCTGAGGCCTAGATGGCAGTATAAAAACAACAGACTTGCAATTAGCAGAGATGATAAATTTGTACCCTTGCTTGCATGTTATTAAGTTGATGTGGAGCCTGTCATTCTGAAATCTATCAAGGCAGCTCTACCAAACAAGTTTCCTTCACTTAGTACAAGCTCCTCTGAAAAAAATGCAGCCATTTAACAGCACAATTTACATAATTTTAATTCTATCCAGTATATAAGTGTGTAATTTCAGAATAACGCATTTGGAATTATTTTGGAACAAGACTAGCCATATCCCTCTCTCTGTATAAAAGCTTTTTATTTATTTTCTAGTGTTGCAGTTCAAGAGGAGCAAGGGTCACGTGGTGAACGTGACACCAGGGTCAGCACATTCCAGGGGCTCTCTCCCAGCAGGACCTCTGACCCTTTCAGCCCTGCCTCTGATGCTCTCTCTGCTCACACTGAAAACATCTGGAGCTCTGGGAGGACACTGCTATATTTACCAAAATATGAATTATGCAGGTGAGCAGCATTCCTTCTCCTGCAGAGTCAGGTTAAGTTGATTTACCTAATTGGAAAAAAGAAGTGGATGGAGGCGTGTCACAAACCACAATTTCAGATTTATGCACCCTTTCCTGTGCACATGCCAGCAGCTCTGGCTCCTGCAGGAATTCCTGCAGAGCTCGGTGCCTTTGTGTGGTTTCCACCTAGGGCCAGGCAGAATGAGTCTCTTTGCAAGGCTCCTAACAGATTTAGGAGGTCATTTTAAATCAAACTCGTAGCAAGAGTTGAAACAGCAGAGCCATACAACCCCCTGAAAGATTTTCAGGAATGCATCTGCACTTTTGGAAGTGCTGCAGCTTTATTTTCTTTTCCATTCGAAGTAAAACACTTCTAAGAGCACAGCAGCTTTTGATTCTGTGCTGAGAGCTGATTCTGAAGAGCAGATGAAAACACCATTTCCTTACACACTCCTGAGCCTTCATCAAACCCCGAAGACAAAACTTAACCTCCTCGACTGAAAATACAGCATGCACCTTAACAAATCAGGACAAAGAATATGGAAATTTGTTCTTTCTTCCCTGTTTAACTTCCCTCCATTCACTTTCCTCCTCTGTTTTTCTACCTCTCATCACCAGTTAAAAGAGGAAAGTGAGCGAACCAAAAGGAGAAAGGCATGGAAAATAACTCCTGTGAGGAAAAGTGGCTTGAAACACCTTTAAACCAGCAGTGGGGAGAGGAAGAGATTAAACCCAGAGAAGAAATCCAGCATGGCAGGAAATAACAATAACCTGACAGCACCGTGCCCACCCAAGAGCCAAAGCCAAGAGGCTGGCCCAGCTCCCCAGCCCACTTTTGTGCATTTATTCTTCCCTTTCCATTCTCCATCTGATCCCACAGTGAGCTGGAACAGGCAGCTAAACACTCAGAAAGGATCCTTCACGTTTGGGTGGGGTGAGCTTTGTGCCCAGTGAGCACTGGCAGGAGGGGGACAAGAGGGGACAGGGTGACATGTCCACACCTCACAGCAGCACCAAACTGCACCGCCAGCAACATCCATCCCCAGCCCAAAACAGCCTCCCAGTGCTGAGCTAACCACCCCCAAAATTCATCTTTTTTCCTCTGCTGGGGTTGTAATAATAGCAATTATCTAATGGCGAATGACCTGAGAAAACTGGAGATTTACATTTAAGGAGAAGAATTATAGGTACGAGATCTTGGCTCCATCAAGGCAGAAGTTCCCTGGAAAAGGAGGTACAAAACAGGAGGGGAAAAAAAAAAAAAGATTAAAGAAAGTTTCAGCTTCTTGCTCGAGCTGCTCCAAGTGTCCCTAAGAGCCACTTCTGCCACTGGATGCCCAAGTGGATCTCAGGTGATATAACTGAATAACAGTTCAAGTTTACACAGCACTTTGGGGTTCCTCGTGATCAGAGCTAGCCTCCAGACAGCTTGCAATGCTTTTTAGTGATTTTTTTTTTTTTTTTGTGTACAATATGTTAAAACCACACTCAGTATTTCTTTATTCTCCTTTCTTCCATAAGAGAGTGGGGAGGAAAAATTAAAGCAAACAGAACAGCTCCTTCTGGTGTGATGGGATCCCTGAAAATACAAACTAATTTAGAGTTTTCAAGTCATGGATAATTGAGGACTGGTCTCTAAGACCTGCTTTTGGGCACCAGAGAAACTCACAACTCCAGGTATTATTGATCTCTATGTTTAAGAGCCCAAACAATTTATCATTAAACGCTTTCCAAACGCACTCTAAGTTCAGGCAGAGTGTCAGCATCAGTTGATATATTAGAAAGTCCATTCCTAGGCATTAATTATGAAGAATGATCCAAAACACTTTGGTTTGTCCTGTTAAAATCAGTTAGTGCACTCCACATCCCAGCTCCAGTCTCCAGCTCCTATGGAAACCTCAGTTCAACATTTATGTCACAACTTCCAACATAACCATAAAATCATCGAGGAAATGATGAATTTCAGGAGGTTGAGTGCTTTGTAACCCCAGGACAGCATCCAACTGGGGTTCCACTGTCTTCACTTCTGAAAGCTGAACCCAACACATCCGAGGGAGTGGGAAAGCTTCAGAAGGTTTTGTATGAAATCCCAAGACTTGGATCTTCTTCAAAAGCAGCACAAGGAAAAAGGAATTCCCCCATGCTGGTGCCAGCAGAGGGTCATCAGAAGAGCTGAAAGATTTAAGTCTTCCATTGCCATCACCCCCCTGCCACTTGCACAGAGACGCTCAGCCCTGGCACATCCCAGAGCCAGAGGGGAGCACGGCATCCCAACATCCCACCAGCAGCCTTGACAAACAGCTGCCCTCCACAAAGGGCTGCTGGAAGCTGGAAATTGAGGGCTTTGCTGCTGGAGGAGGACACAGTTCAGCCAGCACAGATTCTTCTGCCCCTTTTTCCCCACCCATCCACAGCCACCTCTGCCCCACGTCCTTCAGCCTGGCCTCCAACAACCTGAATCCCTCCAGGAAAAGTCCAGCCTCATGGGATGTTCTCCCCACTCAGCCTGGCTGGAACCTTTGGGGATATTAAAACCCAGAGGTGCCTAACTAACTGCTGCTGTTTCTCAAAGGCTTCTATCACAACCAGCCCCAGCAGCCAAAGGGCTCATCCTGATCCAAAGTCACCTTTCTGCACTAATGCAGTTGGAATTTTTCCTGGCCCTGTTATCATGAGTGACTAATACAGTGCATATCGTCCTCCTCATCACAGAGACCTCTGACTTGGAAAATTTCAGTTTAAAGGTTGATAAAAGCAAAAGCAAGGGAAACCAGCATTTGTTAGTGTGATCTTAATCCTAAATTGTCCTAACATGCCATGAGCTGAACTTCAGATAGCCAAAATTTTATAGTTTACATGCCATCAAGTGACTCCATACTGTGAAAAAACACTATTCTAACATGTTTTGCTCAGTTTTACTTGTAATGTACAGAAAAAAAATTACTTATACTATAGAGAAAAAAAATCAGTCAGACCAAGCACAGCACATACACACCTTTCCTCTGAAACCACCTGAACGCTGTGCAGGATTTACAAAAATGCTGTTGAGCACACACTGAGTGCTCCAGGCATTTTACAGAAGGAAAAAAATTGAACACTTCTGTGAGTGTGAGTACCTGAACACTAATACATCACACATCTCCAAGGTGCAGTGGGTCGCAGCTAAATATTGTTGAAAATAAAGAAAATACTTCATGGGCAGGCTGAGTTTTACACATGATTAGTGACTACAGGAGGAGGAAAGTGAGGAAAACACAGCACTCTGCACCTGTGATTACCAGTCTCGGTGCAGATCAAGAGGAGCCTCATTCACTCTCCAGGCACGGTGACTTTAGCAAGCAGAACCTGAATTCCTGTGGACTTCAGCCTCCGGGGAAGCGCCGGTGTGGGTTCTCTGCTGTCTGACAGAAGTTGGAGCTCATGCCAAAGCTGCTCTCCACCAGGCAAAAACATGGTCTCAGAAACCTGTTCTCACGGAAAACTCGTTCCCAGGACCTAAACATTGTCATTCTCAGTAAATCTTAGGCACTTTGATGACAACTAACAAATCGCTTCGCGGGGAACAGAGCTGTTAGACCTGGAACCATGCTGAACTTTCAAGGGTCACAAATCAAAAAGGAATGCGGAAGAACTGTGTTCCATTAACCACCCGTAAACAAAGTAAAAACCTGCTCTGCTAAGAATCCCTGGGCTGACAGGCACTGGATGGGAAGTGTTGCAACAGGTGTGTTACTTCCCTCCTCTCCTCCCCTGAGCCAGCCTCTCCGAGCAATGGGAACACAACAACACAGCACCAGGATGGCTCCAGTGCCATGGAGAGCCCTTGGCTGCCATCAAGGAGTCACACAGCCCTGCCCTGTCAGGCTCTCAGGGACTTGTTGAGGTCCCTGGTGCCAGAGGGGCTTTCACATGGGGAGCTCTGGATGAGTGCACGCTGGTATCCTGGCCATGGCTAGACTGGCCAAGCTGCTGTTCACAGGCCTGGCTCTGGAAGCAGGAGATGGTTGGAAACCCTTTGAGAATTCCAGGATGGGTCACGTTGGAAGGAAACACAGCTGGGTCATCTGGTCAACCCTCCCTGCTCAAGCAGGGCCATCCCTGAGCACAAGGTACAGGATTGGGTCCAAATGGTTCTGGAATGCCCCCAGTGAGGGAAACTCCGCTCTGGACAATCAATTCCAGTGCTCTGACATCCTCACGGGAAAAAAGCTCATCCTCACATCCAGGAGGAACTTCCTGGGCATCAGCTCCTACCCACCACCTCCTGTACTATTGCTTGGCACCACCAGGCAGAGCCCAGCTCCATCCTCTTGGCAGGCTGGCATACTCGTCTCAGATAAACACAGGTTTTATCCCCTGTGTTTCAGGGGATAAAACACACACACATTTCACCCGGTGATCCACATGGCCGTGTCCGAAGGGGAATTCACCCCTGGTCCACGCCGACCGCCCGTGCCCCCCTCCCACCTCACCCCACCCCACCCGTGCCATCCCCGGGCGGCCGCGGTACCTGCGGGCGGGGCGCGGGGAGCTCGGGGTGCGGGGAGCTCGGGGTGCCGGGATGGCCGGCGGCGCTCACCTGGGCGGAAGCGGGAAGCGAGGGGCGATCCCGGCTCACCTGCGGCGCAGGAAGCCGGGGCGGCGCGGCAGGAGAGCCGCCTCCCGAGGGACGGCCGGGGCCCGGCCCCTCCCGGCCCCGCGCTCCGCCGGGACACGGGCTCCGGCCGCCGCGGGAAGTGCAGCGCTTGCGGTTCAGAGCCGAAATTTACTTTTTTAGTCTATTTCCAGGTGAGCCTGACCCGCCGTGGCTTGGATCTACCGTGTGGCCTCCCCAGTGAAGGCGAACCGCGTGTGTAAATATTGTAGAAAGGCTTATTTTTCACTTATTTGCAGCACATCGGTGTCCAGACTCAATGATAGTCTGTGATTCTGTGTTTTGAACTCCCTACAGAGAGGCACGTAGAGCCGGCTTGGTGTGAGGGCTCTGTTCCCTTTGGACACAGGGGTGTAGATTCGGGTGAACCTAATATAGGTAAAATAATATTTTTGTAATAATATGCTGTGCTCAGTCCCAGCAGCGCAGCCCCCACTACTTCACAGAAGGGAATGGGAAAAAAACATAGGAAAACCCGGATGGAGTAAAGGGATTGCAAGACTTCTCCCACAGCACCCCAAAATACACAATGTCACTGTGGCTTCCAAGACACAGAACTATTGTCCAGGATGGCAATAGAAACAAAATTCTCCTCCTGCTAGTCACAAAATAGTGAGCAAGCACCATTTTAGTTGAAATTAATTGTGTGAACTGTGTGTGCTTTGTGAAACCTGTACATTAGTCTGCTAACTTACTAAAATTATACATATACACACATAAAATAGTCAAAGTTGATAAATACAATTTTTATTCTGCTACACAGTTTCATGAGCCCGTCTGGCGACCTTACACGGCCCCGCTGGTTGAACGGGGTAAGAAGAGGTTTGGAAATCAATTTCTCATGAGTTCAGATTGATTTCCCCCTGTTCTGGCACCCGTTTGGTTTCACTGAGTGGTGTTTTGCTAAGAACGCAGCACTCCATCCCCCTTCCAAAGGATCCCGAGCGCTCAGCTGCCCGGCCCGAACTCTCACTTTTAATTAATGTGGCGCTCATGAGAAGTGACAATTTTCCTGACAGTGATGAACAGCGAGCGGTGTATTTATCCACGCCAGGGACGCGCCGCAGACAGAAGAGCCGGGCACTTTTCCCATCAGTGCACCTCTGTCTCCATCTCCCAGGGCTGAGTTCATCCCAGAGCACGCTCCGGCCCTGCCCTTTCGCTTCCAGTCGCTGAGAGAAGTATCAATTTTCATTTGCATGCTTTGCCCGCTGAACTCCAGGCTGCCAATTCAGTTGATGCGAAAATCTCCCCAAAAGCTGTTAGATGGCAATATTTCACATCGCTGGCTGAGCTCTTTGTCAGCCGTCCACACGTTTTAAATCTGCGTTTCCGCGCATTCTTGGAATATCTGGTACCTTCTTTGGTACTGACAGGCACCAGACGAGTCACCACACACCAAAATAATGCCCAGATAACCCAAAAGACTTCCAGAAAGGATGGGTAGTGATGATCTTCTCCTCAGTACTATTTCAGAGTTGCTTTTCCAGCTTTTTAGGTTCGGTTTTCCAGTTTTTAGGCCCCTACTTGTTTTTCAGGAAACACTTCTTGAGCAGATGTAAACTTGGGACAGTGGTGTTGCCTTTCCTGGGTGTGTTTAATCCAAAGGACCTCTCCATCTCCTGTAAACACTCCAGGATCCCTTAGCAGTTTCTAAGTGGAAAACTGATGCCTTCAAACACCAATAAACCTGAAATAAGCACAATAGAAAAGCAATGAATAACTGTCACGTTAGGGTGAATAGGAAAAGGTTTGTAATCACCACAAAATACTTTGTGAAGAGCAAAGGCTGATGAAAAGCTTGCCTGCTCCAGGAATTCGGTATTAATTTAAAATTTGAAATAAAGAGCATTTTTAACAATGCAGTTTTGTGTGAAAACAGGTTAAGATTTTCAATTTATTTCTTTAATCTGACTGCTATGGGTGTGCTGGACACAGTGTCAGCACACTAGGCCCACCTGGATGACAGGGGATGCAAAAGTCTGGGTTTAGCAGGTTTGGAAGGTCACACCTTTACTTCTGCTGGGCTTTTTCAACACATTATTCAAGTACCCAGTAAACTCCAGACACCAGCGGGTACACCCAAAGGTGCGATTTCGCTGGGTGGACCAGTGCTATACCGTGGGTGTTTGGAAGAGCGGGCAGGGTTCACCTCACCCAGCCCCGCCGCTCGGTTCAGGGCGAGTCCTGCCCGCGGTGCCAGCACCCGGAGCGGTCCCAGCCCCGCTGTGGGAGCCGCCTCAGGACTCCTCACGGCTCCCCTCCATCCCGGGGCCCTCACACCCGACATCTTTAGTGCGGGCAAGAGCGGGGCCGGTGCCGGCCGCCGGGCGCGGCCATCTTTACTCGGGGCGCGACCCGTCCCAGCGCCGGGCCCTGCGAGCGCCATCTTGAGTGAGGGCGCGCTCTGCCCTCAGCGCGGCCTCGTCCGCCATATTTAATGAGGTCACCCCTCACCACTCCAAAAAAACCCTTAAGCCCCCCCAAAAGCCTAACCCGTACCCTCAGCAAGCCACGAACACCTCGGGATCCCCCTCGGTTTCTCCCCGCAGCCAGCGCGGGCTCTCCCCGCGGCGGAGCCGCTCCGCTCCTCCCCGGGTCAGCTGACGGCGGCGGCGGTCCCGTCATGGCCGCCCGGAGCGGCGCGGCTGAGGCGCTGGTCCTGCTTCTCCTCTGCTTCTCAGCCCTGGAGGGAGCAGCGGGCTCGGAGCCGCCGCTCAAGTGCGAGGAGCTGCGGCTGGGGCAATATCCTGAGCGGGGCCGGGGTCGGATCGGGGGCGGTTGTTGTGGCGGTGGGCCCGGTGTGAGGGGGGGCAGCGCTTGTGGGGAGGGGAAGGGGCGGTGGGGACCGTGAGGGACCGGGCAGGACCGGGGGGTCGGGGAGAGCTCAGGGTGAGAGCCCCGAGGGGGTCTCGGCTGGCAGGAGCGGGACAGGGCTCCTCAGGGTGCGGGAATTGAGGACACGGCCTCAAGCTGCGCCAGGGGATTGTTCAGGTTGGACATCAGGGGGAATTTATTCACAAAAAGGGTGATTAGGCGTTGGAAGGGGTGCCCAGGGATGTGGAGGTGTCCAAAGAACGACTGAGTGTGGCACTCAGTGCTCTGATCTGGGTGACAAGAAGGGCATCAGTCCCAGGTTGGACTCGATGGTCTCAGAGGGCTTTTCCAACCTAATTAATTTTGTGATTTCTGGTGGTACTGTGTGTGCCCCAGCGCGTGCTTGGGGTGTCCTTCAAAGAGATTGCTATGGGATGAGAGAGCCCGCTCTGCCACCACTCTGCCTTATTTATTATTTGCAGGAGCGAGACGTGGAGACTTTGCCATTTTTTCAGGAAATAATGTGTTTCTGTGCCCTGCACAGCTCCGAGGAGCAGGAGGTGTGAGGCTCCTGGCTCTCCAAGGCACCTCTTGCCCTCCGCAGAACATGTTGGTTGATGGCAGCTGACATTTTTTGATGATCAAAAGTGTCAGGAAAGCAAATCTTGGAAAAGCTTGCCTCATCTCCTGCTTTACTTGGCTGTGGGAGTTGAGACCTCTGGAAGTCAGTTCCTTCTCAGTTTGTTCCTGCACCAAATTCCTGGCGTTTCAGATGCTCATTTTTACGCATTCGTTGAATTTTGCGTGTTCCCGTATATTAAATTTCCTCAACCAAATGCCTCAATTTCAAGGCACTGTGGTATTGAAATAAGGGAACAAGACCAGATGAGGCGTGTGCTACCTTGTTGCCTCCAAATACAGAGGCTGTGACTGATAAATATTGTAGTTCCTTTAGGTAGTGCTGACTGCAGCACTAATTAAACGTGGGGCTTATGCGATATATTGGTGTATTAAATTGGATTAGCAGATTTGCTGCATGGTAATGTGCTGCTCCTCTTTTGGGGGATGGGTAGGCACCAACATCAAGGTGCATCTTAAATCCTCGGGGTTTAAAGAGGGTGGAATAAATTGCTGTTAAACCTGTTGTAGTGTTTGATATGAAAACTGTTTTCCTCAATTACCTGAACGTATATGTGTGATGAGCCTAAAATAGACAATAGCACACAAGAACCAATGAATTGCACAAATCACACAGCATATGGTAAGGATTTCTAACTTATATATTGATTAACTGTGTTTTTTTCAAGGAAGTGTTCAATTTACCCGTTTGTGTATCTACTTGATGAGCTGTATAAAAGATGGGATTAGTAATATCATTAGTCTGAAAGCCCGAAACACTTGTGTGGATTGGGTGCTTTACTAAACAGGAATAAATACTCTGTCTCTGATTGGTACTTTTGTAAGTGAGGTTTCTGGTAAATCTCTTCAATGTATGTTACACCCTTTAGGCTCTGTCCTGCACCACTGTGATTAAAACAAACCATTCCTGTCATACTGATTTTGCATATAATTATTAAAAGAATTGACATGTGACAGAACAGCCTTCAAAATCTTCTAATTTTAAAGGGTTTTTTTCTTAAGGCAACATAGTGCCTTCCATCATCACCAGGTTTTGGTGCATGAGGCTCTATTTTGAAAGCACATTTATTTGATGTTCAGTTCTGACATACTTCAGAGCACAACAGAAAAATTCATAACTTGATTACTTATTTTCCTACCTGTGCTTAACTTTGATGTTCCCAGGCATTGAAATAAATGGTCTGTGTTTGATGGCACAGCAAATTCTCTTTATGTGCACCCCTGATTTAAAATCATGGAATTACAGAATAGCTTGGGTTGCAAGGGACCTTAAACCTCATCCAGTGCCACCCCTGCCATGCAGGGACACCTTCCACTGTCCCAGGGTGCTCCAAGCCCTGTCCAACCTGGCCTTGGACACTGCCAGGGATGGGGAGCCCACAAAAATCATGTGTGTTCATATTTTGCTTCCTATAAGTGCTGACTGACTTTCTTCTGCGATAGTGAAGATAGTTTCAGACACTGGATGGAAATACTTTCCACAATGTATCCTTTAAATAAAGTTTTTTCAGTTCTTTCCATCATTTTAACATTGTGTCCCTGACTATAAATGGGCACTCAGGGCCCAGAAAAAATACTGCACAGTTTGAGATTGATCATGACTCAAGATTATCAGTTGTTAAACTAATTACCATGTGATTGTATTTAATACACTGCACTTTTGAAGAGGAGATAAGCTTCAGAGTAGAACAAGTGGCTGAACTAATTAACACTGTTGCTTTGTGTAGCATTTTTACACGCACACACCAGTTTTTAGATTGTCCTCACAGTATTTGAATTGCTTATTTTCAGTATTACCTAAGTAATAAAAAATTAATTTCTGGATCCTACTTGAAACACTGCAATTTCTGATCACTTTCTGTGATCCCTTACCCAGACAAACAGGGGTTTAATTCAAAGCAGCAAGGTGATGTCATTGAGTAGAAGGTTTGGAGTCTTTGGAGTGACACTTAAGTTATATCTTAACTGTGCTGGGTTTATTCTAATAATGGAAAACAGCTTCTTTGCTTAATTTACTTTACAAAAAATAATGTTTATTTTTGTAATTGCCTTCGATTAGGCACATTGATCAGTAGCATTATGGAATGATTTGGATTGGAAGGGACTTTAAAGACCATCTCATTTCACCCTCTGCCATGGGCAGGGACAACTTCCACTATCCCAGGCTGCTCCAAGCCCTGTTTAACCTGGCTTTGGACACTTCCAGGGGTGGGGTATAAAATCCATGTAAGATTTTATAGCAGTTAAGTCCACACATAACTCAAATCTTATTTTATTTTTTGGCTATATGCAATATGGATAGGCATTAAAAAAAATTCATCTCTTGCCTGTGTGCATTACTGGAAAATCTGGAAAGAATGTTAAACCTGGCTTGCAGTTTTATTGGAATTAACCAAAAGGACTCACAAGTACTGAAGGCTGATAGAAAGTGGGTAAAGGACAGATATTTTTTCCTTTAAAACAACAGACTACAGCACTGGAGAGTGCCTAATATTCTGGTAATACACTGCAAACTTTAGCAGGTGTGACTTTCTGCTGTGATTTCCACTTTGGTTCCCCTAAGAGTCAAGAAAAATGGAATAATTTGGGTAGAAAGACCCTTCAGGAAGCTGCATAGTCCAACCTCCTGCTCCAAGCAGTGTTGGCACTGAATTCCAACCAGGTTGCTCAGGGCTTTGTGCAGTCAGACCTTGAAAACCTCCAGGGATGGTGATGGCATGACTTCTCTGGGCAACTGGTTCCAATATTTGACTGTTCTCATGATGAAAATCTTCTCTGTAAGTCAGCTTCAGATTTCTCATTGACTCATATTGATGCCAGAGTGGAAATTACAACAGAATTGGGGCAGCAATTAGGTTTGTATATATTGCTTAAAATGTAGCAAAGAAAAACTAAACCACGAGTTAGTGGTAGGACTGGCTTAAAAAATATTTTCAACAAGTAATTTTGTGTGAACTGTGCTTTGTATCAAGACTTGCACAGTAGAACCTAATTTGTTTCACTTGTGTGTAGTCAGAAAACTGCTCTGAGTGTCAGTTACTGCTTAATATCAAATCATTTTTTGTCCTCAGTTCAATGTCTGCCAGCACCAAATATTACTTGCAAAGATCACCTTGGCATAGAGAAAGTCTTTTCGGGACGTGAAGTTGGATTTTACAAGGCCATTGAGTGTCGCAATGTGTGAGTACTCTTTGGATCTGAAAAACTGAAGTTTGTCCAAAATTGTATGCTGTGTTGGCAGAAGGAAAATAGAAGTAAGACAGAACCATGCACATTTTGCCCAGTAGTTAATCCCCTAATAAACACTACAAGGATGCAACACAGGGTCATGGCAAGGGTTGGGTTGGGAGGGACCTTAAAGCCCATCTCATTCCATCCCCCTGCCATGGCCAGGGGCGCCTTCCACTAGAGCAGGTCACTCTAAATGTGCATGGTCATATGGAAATCTATCAGTCTGTCCTTTTTTTTGTTGTTGTTTAGTTATGTTTGTGTCTTTGCTTCACCTTATTCTTTTACCTTTGCTTTACTTTGTACTTCAGCTTGGCAAAATTTTGCTCCAAATGCGGAGGCCACATTTCACATGTGTTTAAAATCAGCACAGTTGCTGGAAGGAGCTGTTGGGGACACCCTCCATCCCCTTCCCTGGCAGACCCCAGGACATCAGGGAGCTGCCCTGGGTTGGAGCTGCCTTGGATCAGTTCCCCAGTTTGAGTCACAGTACAGTGGCTTCAAGTGCCAGTGCCAGCACAGGGATGAGGGTGACTCAAGGATAAAACAGAGAGGACAAAGGAGGGCTGGACAGGGCTCTGCTGCTCAGTGCTGCATGCCAGTTTAAAGGGTGCCTGTAGCTGCTGCTGAAGTTCTGTGATGCATGAATTTTAGGGGAGCTTCAGGGTCTCTGCAGCTCCCCCCAAAATCTATAACAGAAACTGTTTCTATTTTGAAACAACTTTTGTGTTTAATCCAATCCACAGTGCTTGTTTCTGGTACATGAATGGTGCTCCTTTTTGTAAAGCACATTGTGAGTGATGGAGAGCTCTGGATACCAATAAATGTTCCAACTGGCCAGTGCTAATGATCAGCCAGCACCTGTCACTACCATTTGTCTCCTCTTTTTCTGGGATTCACACTGGAACCTTTTTCTTTTGTCCTACTGGAATCCTTGGGAATTA